CCCCAAAACCCCAAAACCCCAAAACCCCAAAACCCCAAAACCCCTAACCTTTGTAATAATATTGAAATATATAAAATAAAACAAATGATCAAGAACTCCGAGTCTCAACAGATAAAACTGGATACTAGCTCAAGAAAGACGAAGAAAGGTCACAAAAGTGTTTTTGAGTACTGATTCTGCTTCTTTTTTGATATTTTGTTTATTCTTCCTTTCTATCTAACCACATATGTCTAGCCGCCTTACAGATGGAGGTCCTAACTTAAAATCAATCAGGTCTCTGAACCAGAAGCCAAAGAGTCCTCCCAGAAGGAGTCCCAAGGAGGTTCTGATTGCGCATAAATAACAGGAAGAGTGAAGGACAGGTATCTCGGCTAAATCTATTGATTAATTTTTCTTTTGTCAGGATCCTTTGTACCTTTCCATGTTATATATTTACCAAAGATAAGTTTGTATATCTCCATATGGTTCCTCCTTCGTATTTAACCCAAGCCAACCACTTTTTGGTCCGAGTTGCTGATCTATTTAGGTCGGTATCAGACAGAAGCTGCCTCCGACTTTTGCTAAAGAATCACCAAGAGAGACATATGAGAATTCGTAAGTGAACCCTAACTATCTTGTTTAAAACTTTGTCTTAATCCTTTTCCCGAGTGTAAGCTTTAGCGAGGGGAATTACCTCTGATTCCATTAAGTTACTTTGCTAAACTTCCTTGTTTCCTCTGTTGGGTATTGGAGCACCCTAACTCAATGTTGGAGCTTCATCAGACCAGTGGGCTATCAACGGTTAATCTTTAGCAGTTATCTTCCCAGAGCGGACAAGAAGACAACCATACTTCCTAGCATTGCCAAGAGCAACAAGAATTTGTCCAAGAACAATTTTGGGTAAAATTGGCTTAATTTTTGTTTTTTATTCTTAGAATTGACTCAGTGGGTCCGGGAAATTTGAAAAGGAACTCAGGGATTATGTCTCATAGCTTCAAGGATTTAGCGAATAGGAAGAAGAGTAAAGGTAGGCACTAGTTCTTTAAAACATCTATTTCAGTCTGATATTCTTACCTTTATAGATAACGCTTATCAACAAGAAGCTCGTTCTCCAACCACAATTCCTGATAAATACTTCAGAAACAACAATTCCTTCAAAATGCTAAACAAAATGAGGGTTCCCAAGACAGGCAATGCTAACAAAAGCATGGATGCCGGAATGAGGAACAACTTCATGAACACGAATTTACTCCCAGAGGATATTTCTAAATAAAGTCGATGAATTCAAGAAGAGATTCAATTTCTCATTCGTAACCATTACCTTCTTATATATAGGACTCTAAACAAAAAGGAAATAGCTTCAAACTAGAGGCTCTGAAATCTAAGCCCTCTGAGAAACCACCGAGCAGGCGCCCTGTGTTTGAAAGACTCACCTCCGGTCTGCTAAAGAACAACAGAAATAATAGCAAGAAGGAAAAGGTAACAACTAAGCTGGAGGAAACTAAGGTACTTAAATAACATCAACAAGATACATCCCCTTGGCAGATTTGGAGATACCGGAAGTTCCTTCGACCAAGAGATCACACGACAGGACTCTCAGAATGATGCATATGGTGTTATAAAATAAGACTAATGGGTCTCTATATGATGTCGACCCTTATGATCCTAAATTTTTAATCAAGCTACAGCATAGGAACAAAAAGAAAAAGAATTTCTTGAAGCAAAGCCAGTTACTTCATAGCCCAGCTACTCAGAACATTAACAATACCACTAAGCTAAATCTTAAAGAAGACGTTGTGCTCAGGTACCAAGTCAAGAGCCAGGTCGGGAAGGTACAAAACAAGAATAAAGAAGCTAACCAAGATAGTTACATAACTCAGAAGATGAACAACTATTGGCTCTTTGGAGTTTTAGACGGCCATGGGCTTTTCGGCCACCATGCCTCTAGTCTTGTAAAAAGGCTACTGCCAAGACACATCTTTAAAAAGAAAAAGGTCGAACTTAGCTCAATCATTAATAATAAATAAGGACCTTAAGAAGGGCAACGGGCTGCAGAATAAGGACATCATCACTGGATTTAGAAGGGTCCATAAGCATCTTGAGGAGAACAAGACTACTTTTGACCCTTCTTTCTCCGGCACAACGGTGAACTTATGTATGATCAACTCAGATGAGAGAAAGCTGATCTGAGCCAACGCAGGAGATTCCCGATCTGTAATGTACTCCTTCCAAAGGGCTAGGGTAAACACTGATCTTGATGAAGTAAATATCCTTACTCCTGGGAGAGACGAGAGCAACGATTTTGAATGGGACATTACTCCTTTATCAGAAGATCACAAACCAGACCTTCCTAAGGAATACGAACGGATTACTCAAAAATATAAAGGAAGAGTACTCAGTTATCAAGATGATGAAGGCAACCCAGTTGGCCCAGCTAGAGTCTGGCTTAGGGAGAAAAATGTCCCAGGTCTTGCTATGTCAAGATCTATAGGAGATATAGTAGCTCATTCTGTAGGAGTTGAGTGATCTCCAGAAATCAAAGAATTCACTTTGAAACCAGAAGATAAAATATTAGTCATAGGGTCTGATGGTCTTTGGGAATTTATGGACAACAAAGAGGTACTTGATATCATTCTGCCATTCTATAAGAAAGACAAAACGAAGCCTGAGAAGGCCATTGACAAATTGATCAAGAAGGCATCTCAAAAATGGAGCAAAGAAGAAAATGTAGTTGATGATATAACCATCATTCTAGTGTATCTTAATATAAATTAAGTTAAATTCTCAAGAAGTTGTGCTCAAATAGGGGTTTTGGGGTTTTGGGGTTTTGGGGTTTTGGGG